CAGAAACCTAGGACAGACTCTTCGGCTCTAGGTGGGTCGTCCATAGTCAGGTCTTGTGGATTTCCAATGGCTCCATGCAGCTAAATGTAATCTATTAGCGACTATCTACTGGTTATTAAAACACCTAGCATCTTATGTGGAAAGTCTGGACTTGGATAAAATATACTTAAAAATGGCCAGATGTCTAGTACTGAGCTTGTGTTGAATGCCAAAACTCACTCTTGTACAGTACTCCCGCCAAGGCCTATAGAAAGTAACAGTCTGACAGTCAGAGAGATGACAGGATTGTATGTTGTTGATGTCTTTACAGGAGGTGTCAACTGTAAAGTCAGCATGTTTTATATTCATCTGGGGGACTCATTTTTTTAATCGTGTTCAAAATCAATATGCAAATGAGAACATGTTTGACGACTGGAAGCATTGATAAAAAGAATAACATCAGACCACACACGCTCTCTGCAGAGCTGCATTCATCAGACAACCTGTCACTTTGTAGATAATTTATGGCCCTAGTTATTTTAGTCTAAAATCTTTTTAAGCAGTTTGAGTTTGATTAGAAATTAGAGTTTGATTGACCTTGACTAAAACTAGAATAAAATGTTTATAATATTTTTGTCAACTAATCTTTTGAAACAATATCAAGAGTTTTAGTTGACTAAAAACTGACTAAAAATAAAAAAGTTTGTTTAAATATGAATATACCTAACATTGGAGTAAGACTAAAACTAAATGTAAAGATATCGTTTAGCATTTTATACAAGGTATGGGGGAAACACTAAAAGGCCTTGTGAAACAAATTCAGTTTGTTTTCTGAAGAAAAAATCTGTTAATCTAATCTCTGATCTTGTGAGTCATACCCATATTTGTGATGATTGTGGTGCCCTCGGTGGCGCAACTGAGGCTCCGGGGCAAGGCGAGGAGCATCAGTAGCCAGCAGTTGGTTCCTTTTACCTAAAACAAAAGTCAAATAAATGTAAACCTATTGACAATAAATCAGTATTCCCTTGACAATAACAATATATTCATTCATGGATTACAATGGGCAGAACACAAACTCTTGTGGTTTATCTTTACTAACTACAGTTGCTAGTTATGTTTATGCAAAGCTTAATAGCCTACTTGTGTACAGCAGTGCTTTGAGCTAAATGCTAATGTCAGCATGTTAACATACTAACAACGACAATGCTAGTTTAGGTATATGTTTCATTTTAGTGTGTGAGCATGCTAATATTTTCTTTTTAGCACCAAACACAAAGTACAGCTAAGGCTGATGGGAATGTTATTAGTTTTGGACAACTTAAAAATGTGACCTGATGATGGATATAAGGTTAAGGGATCATCAAAGTGATCAATGCATCCTGTTTGTGGAGATCATTCACAAAAGGTGCTAGACCAAATATCAGGGGATCCCCAAAGTCAGTCAAGTTCATCATGTTGGAACTATTCATCTTGGTGCCAATCCATTCAGTTGGCTAGATGTTGAGATATTTCACTGGATAAGTAGGTAAAACTGTAGGTAAAAAGACAGGGGATCACCAAAGTCAGTACGATTCATCCTCTGCAGTGGCGTGCACAGACTTTTTGAAGGGCAGGGGCGGAAAGAAAAAAAAGGGCAAATATAGCGCGTCCTCACCA